ACTTTACAGATCTTCTTTATGCACCAAGAGCTTGTAACACTCCAAAGAGAAAGGAAAAATTTTAATCGCATCACATGAGCCCTTTAAATACAGGAACTTGTCTAAGAAAAAACATGCAACAAGTCGTCCTTGTGATCACAGAATCTGACCAATGAGAATAAAGTGTGTCATCATCAAGGCTTTCGCAGCCGATTTTGAGCAACTGCAGCGCCTGACCTAGGCGGCTGGTCTCGGTTTGCTCTCGCGGTAGTTTAATGAACACCGGCTTGCAATTCAGTATGAACACTTACCCTGCGTATGCAAATCTTTTTGACGTCATTCTACCTTCATACACGTGATCGTAAGGCGGCTGCAGCGCCGATCAAAGTCGTAAACAGAATGCATTGCTTTTGTCAGGCAGCAGCAGATCTTTGCGGCGCCGCATGAAGTCGAACAAACCTAAAATCTTTCCGCTAGACTGCGCGATTGACCAATCAGAATCAAGAATTACAGAAAGTTATTTGCGTTTCTATGGCAACACTATCACCTCCAAAGCTCACATGCTCGCAGAACTCGTAATTACAATTTGTAAACTCGGCATGTTTTGAGCGCTACGAATTGGACCACGTGACCGCTGTACCGCTGCCAGATTCATTTAGGCGCCACTGCCTTCGAGTAATCTCAGGTGCTGTCATCTCGGAATTACGGTAATTGACCGTTCAAAATCAGACAGGAGAGTAGATTAACGTGGGTGGATTTATGCTGCCTTCACCTGCTATCAGAATTATCGTAAATACGAGTTTCCTAATCGGAAATTAGACGTAACAACTTAATTAAAACATGATATTTTATAAGTTGTGTACCATTAGGCTATGTGTTCATACTGAATTTTGAGCTGTGTAGTTTCCTTCTCTTCCTCAACAGGCTATATGATATATTAGTTTATTGTAATATTATATTGTAATTTTGATGATACTTAAAGAAGGTCTAGTATCTGCACTAGTCTAATACATGCATAATTTCACCTGTCTACTGATCCATTTTTTTAAACACAAATTTGGTTCAATAATAATTGAACCAACAGAACCAACAGTAATAATTTTTTATTTAACGTTGTAATTTAAGAGGATTTTACAAAATATTACTAAAATATTTATTAAAATATTTATCTCTAACTTATTCACCATTTATCATCTGTAATACTATCGTGTAACGATACCATAGTGATACCATAGTGTTGAGCATTGTCACATAACATCATTTTGATTATAAAGTTTAACATCAGCTCACTGGTGTAAGCAGATTATGACATTTCAATGTAAAGCCAAACCAAATAATGTTAACACCGGCTTGCAATTCAGTATGAACACTTACCCTGCGTATGCAAATCTTTTTGACGTCATTCTACCTTCATACACGTGATCGTAAGGCGGCTGCAGCGCCGATCAAAGTCGTAAACAGAATGCATTGCTTTTGTCAGGCAGCAGCAGATCTTTGCGGCGCCGCATGAAGTCGAACAAACCTAAAATCTTTCCGCTAGACTGCGCGATTGACCAATCAGAATCAAGAATTACAGAAAGTTATTTGCGTTTCTATGGCAACACTATCACCTCCAAAGCTCACATGCTCGCAGAACTCGTAATTACAATTTGTAAACTCGGCATGTTTTGAGCGCTACGAATTGGACCACGTGACCGCTGTACCGCTGCCAGATTCATTTAGGCGCCACTGCCTTCGAGTAATCTCAGGTGCTGTCATCTCGGAATTACGGTAATTGACCGTTCAAAATCAGACAGGAGAGTAGATTAACGTGGGTGGATTTATGCTGCCTTCACCTGCTATCAGAATTATCGTAAATACGAGTTTCCTAATCGGAAATTAGACGTGAACGCCTCTCAAATCGTATTTACTACTGGGAAATTCAGAAATAATTTTGATACCAGAGTTTCCGAGTTGGCATGTCATAATCTTTAAACATGGTGGAGAGGAAAACCATTGCTGCTGTCACTGCTGTTCTCACAACAACTACATCCCTTTGTCTTGTCACTAAAGTAGTGTATTTATAGGCTAGATATGAACGATCATTCGAAGCATATTGTATGTTTTATAAGCAGTGAAATAAGCATGTATTTGACCGAAATTCCAGAATTGTCAGCAAACTGCATGTGTCGCGCGGTGAATGTTTATGATAGTCAATGGGATGCTACATTCTATTCTTTCCGACATTAAAGCACTTGAATACGACAAGCTCATAATCACGACTTCATAAGTGGGAAATAGGAAATTTCCGATAGCACGTGAAGGCAGCATTACACTTGAAAAATATTGTGTATTGAGTTGACATCTTTCCGCGGTTGAAACGAAATACCTTCTGATGTTCATTCATGTTCATTTCGTGCTTTAAGTAAATATGAAGACTATTGGTTCACGTGTGCCTCTTTAGCTGAGGCAATACAGTGATCTGTCACGACACATTAAAAAAGCCACAAAACGGTATTTATTGTTTGAATTTCTTTAAAAAAAAAAGTAAAAAATTGAAAGCTGAGACCTTGTTTCATACCAGAACCTGTTCTGTCTTGTCTGTCGGCATGTTGTTTCCTCTTTGCTCCGTGATGTATTTTTTACTGCATGAGAACATGATGTGTATAGTGTGAGAGCGGCATGGCTTGTCGGACATAGCAACAGTAACTAAGGAGGGCGGGTTTTGCGAACGGTCAATTACGACATGGCATGAAGGCAGCTAAATGAGTATTTTTAGTGATGCTTGTTAAGTGTTAGTGTTGAAGTTTGTCGTTGAATGTATGAAATGTTAACTGAAGATGCTACCGTACAGGCATTACTTACTGGAAAGGACATTGAATCCAATAAGGAAAGTTGAAGAAAGTGAAGAAAAGAGGCAGAAATATAGAGACAAGCTCAAAGAGTGGGGTGAACCTATGGATGGCTCATTTGGAAAAACAGGTGTGCTCTGTTACTTCTCTGTCTTGCTTTCTGCTCTCATTCTGTTCTGCTCTCTCGCTCTTTTTTCCTCTGGCCTAATGAGGCGGAGACCAGGTGGACAGCAAAGACAGATGACCCTCTGCTGTTATCTGTTTACCAGAAAAAGATGCCTGGTCTTTTCAGCCATTTTTGAACATTTCTGTTCGCTGAGAAACCTTTCTAGAAGCCCCAGAAACTTCTGGAAAGGTTTCCCGTGGTGACCATAGTCATGTGTTAAATTTTGTTTTCTCATAGAATAGAGGTCACATTCCTTTTAGGGGACAGAGGAAAAGTCTCAGATACACATATTTAATAACAATGGCTAATGACTTCCAAGGGTGTTGTTGAAAATCATTACAGCATAACAATTAAAATGGAATGAAATTAGTTTTGTCTGGTGTCACCAGGTGATTCTCGTCACATAAAATTATATTTTGTACAAACTTTTGATCATAAATTTGATTTACATTTCAGAATAAGCCAATTTGCATGTCTCCATTCATCACCACAATTAAATGGGTTATATGTCATATGAAAGATTTCTGTTTTGTCTCCTAAAATGCTTATGAAAAATAAGGCAAGTATAATCGATGAGAAAATGCTAAATTATATTGGGTGTGGTGCAATTATATATATTTTTATTAGTTAAGATCATTAACCATTTTGCACTGACATTCATATTTAAAACATTGAGTTAACACGGTGACACAAAACATTTTAATGAGAAATATTGTTTTTTTTATATTTATAATTTAATATATCAGTTATCTTGATTATTAACATCTGGATTTGAGTTTAACAATAATTTGATAAAGTTATGAAGAGCCTATTTTCCTTCCTTCATTATTATAAATTCATTATGCACACATGAAACACTACCTCAGATCATGCGTGGTGAATAATAATGAGTCATCAGCGCCACTTTTACCCTTACGGGTGATGTAAAAATGCACCACTGGAGTGTCAGTGGAGTTAAAATGAAGTAGGCTACATTGATCAAACAGCATTAAATAAAAAAGCAAAAATGGCCACAAATGTGTTCTTTTTATTATTTCTTTCATGAGTTGCAAAACCTCTAGCTGTCCATCTAAGATACAAATACACCAGTTGAACATCCATGCAGAGGTGCAGAAAAGAAATTACACTCCATCAAACAGCTCACACTTAAAAAAAAATATATATTATAGGTTGATTACCACAGTGAAAATATTATCCATGCACACAAGTTACAAACACCAGAGTTGACGGGATCAACTATGAACAAATCACGGTAAATGCCAGGTGAACAGTTCACTTCTACATCAAGTACATAGGATTGGCACTTTTTTCATTTTGCAAAATACACCTGTTAAAACAGGAAGACTCCAGCATTCGAGTGGTTTAGGAAATTAAAGACTTAATGAAACACTTGAATATAAATGAAAAGCTTCATATGTTTTTTGCACTCAAATAATTACTGCACAATCCACAGATCATAAATATAAAAATGTTCTTGTCCATTCCCTGCATCGCATTTGTAACCAACCAGCTAATAGTTAAGTTTCAATGGGGCCATTTTTGATGTTTTTTTAGCATTTTAATGAGCACTATCTGCCTCATTACCTCAAAAATGCCTTTTCTGCTCTTTATCTATAAAGCGGAGCCAGAAAGGAAATAAACGCTTACTAAATTTATATAATTTAATATGAATCAAAGGAGGCTAGATACTCTTTCCAATCATTTAATAGCTATTTTGTCTTGTGTTATCAGAAAATTACCAATATCTCAAGCCAGAAAGGAAAGATCCATGCATCCATCCATTCATGATCATGGTCGTGTCCAATTTCAACCACTTTTCTATTCATATGGTTTCTGTCTGTTGAAAACGCAAATTGCACATCAGATTATCTATTTGCATAATGACACATGCAGCATATACCCTTCAGGTTCCTTTCCATATGATTTTACCATATGAATTTTACCATTACATTTTTGGCTAGAGGATTGGAATTTAGATCTGCGAATGTGAGTAGATAGTTTACTTGGTACTTTCCTCTGGGTAAGTACGGTGCATTGAAAGACTTTCAAAGAAAGTATTTCATATGGACCCTGTTTCATAAAAGGCTTTCCAAGCCAGATGATGTCCAACAAATAGATACAAATGATGATGCTCAGTCCAAAAATGATCCAATCGGAGCAAATCTAAACATGTAAAAATCGCTCTTTAGTAAGGCTTCTGGGTTTCACCAAATGACATTCTGCACATTTGCAAGAATATGTCATCGCATTTACAAGTTTTGGCGTAAAGTCTGACGCCGACACATGCAGTGTGACGCAACATTGTTCGGTCTGGTTATTTGTCCTCCAAATTAGCCAGCAGATGCATCTAGGATCAAAGCTAACATTAGCACAGAGGGCCATTGTGAAGCTTCAAAGGACTTGCGGCTCTGGAAAGAAGTCTTTACAATCAAAAAGGTAAACGCTTGGTCTTAATTAGGCTAAATGCGTAGAACAACCAAAATACGGAAGGCAACATACAAAAAGACTTTGTCATAGACTCTTCTATATTTACAGGCAACAAATTTAAAGCTGTGCTAACGCCTTGATCTATAGCAGGTGGTGGTTGTTGCTTCTGAATCTGTAAATACTAAATTAACCACTGCTACATGAAAGACAACGAAGCAAATATCTAGCACAGAAGAACTTATTCCAACGTTGAGGACAGTGTCCCATTCTGAAGGCCTAAACTCCAGACAAGAGCTTGCACAAAGGGACCTCCCGTTCACCTAACAGCATGTCTCTTTTCAGGCTGGTGCCTTTATTCACAACCTTGATCTTCAAAGCTAAGTTCTTAACCTGAGCCGAAGTCACCGAATCAAAAAAGAAGTCCTCGTTGAAGAAGGGATTGCGGCTGTTCTTGATTATCGTGCTCCTCTGCTTCTGCAACTTGCCCGGATTAAGGTAGAGCGACACGCAACAGTTGATGCTCTTAATATCAAACATGGGATCATACAGGTCCTCGGCCGCCATAATGCGGATTCGCAGACGGGCCGTACCCGCGTCGTAGTCTGCGCAAAGTCGGACAGTGCCTCCTTTGTGCATGTTGATGGTGTGCTCCTTGTGTTGACGGTCCGCGCCATGAAGGTGGTCCAGAGCTCCACCACCTTGTAAGGAGGAACAGTGGCTCCTCCTAGGAACGTTAGGGCTGGGCTCTGCCGAGCTGCACTCATCTGTGGATAAGGAACTATGCCTGGCAAATGTCCGCTTGCCTTTGGCAACCTTGGCATGTGTCTCATGGGTGAAGATCTTCAGTAAAGAGGCGGAACGAGAGAGCAGTGGCGAACTGAATGGGGACGACTCTGCCGAAGAGCAAGTGTCGCTCTCGCCACCGCTGAAGTATCGGTAGGGGTTTATGTGAGAGGAGCTGAAGTCCGGAGGGTTGAGGTGATTTCCCTCGTTGCTGCCCTTGCCTTGGGACTTGCGCTGGGTATTGGGTGACGTAACTGGACTGGTGTGGTCGCAGTGGAACAGGGACTCTTTTCGCCGGGTGTGAGGACTCTCCATCAACGTGGCAAATCCGTAAGAAGTCTGAGTCTTTGGAATGTAAGGAAGTGACATGGCGGTCTGGGATTGAGGGTCAGCGTTGGTGTCACCCGCTATGACGTCGTCCGCACTCTCGATCTGAATGATGTGCCGGTTAGCCGCCCTAAGCAGGTTCTTGGTGTCTCCTGCCAACTTGCTGACCAGTCGTGGGCTACGAGGGCTGCTGATCTTCTTGTTGCTGATGGTTTGCTCTGAGGTCGAGGGTCTCAGACTATCTTTGGACTTGATGTCAGAAGCTTCAGTCTCTGGTGGGCAGCTTACCAGCTTTGGGGGGATGAAGAAATCTGGAATCTTATCGGGTGTGAGGACGTTGCTATAGGCGGGTGCCTTCCCCTTGTCACCCGCCTCTCCTTGGCGGAGCACATTTGTTTCAATGGAGTCCCGGATCTTCTCCAGAACCCACATGATCCCTCTGGGCTGAACCCGCTGGGTGATGCCTGTAATCACAAGCAATAGAACATTCAACAATGAACCCCAAGCTATTAATAACTTACGATTGACCATTGCAACAGCAATGTACCATTAGATCATGAACAATTGTCACCTATATGTAAAGTTGTAGGGTGAATTGTGCAGTAACTTTCAGGGGCGGACTTTGAGGATTGCAAGTTAATCTTACGTGATCCGAATTGTATTTAAACATTTTACTAACACAATACATTAACCTTTTAATGCTATATAAGTGGCAAGTAAATTAATAATCAAATGTTTTGTCAAAAATTGTCAATGTTCTTTCTGTCTAATAATGATCCTAACGAAAAGTGCTTCAGCAACGCACTGTTGCTATAGTTATCTCTTCAGGTGAATACGAACATTCTGTTTCCGAGCATCTATTTTCCGCTAGGTGAAAACAGATTAATTTTTTTTTTTTTTGAGGTGGGTGGAGGTTTAAGTCTTAACACGTGGGACAACTCCCCTTAATCTGCATATGTGCAAATCATTCTAGACTTGAATAAATCTACATGCTAGCACATGAATTTCATGTACAGTTTATAGACTTGGTATGAGATGGCATTTCTTTTAGAATATTAGAAATCAGTTTTCAATAAGTCAATTCATATATAATTTTTTGTATAACATTATTTATGGATTAGGAAACTTTGGACTAAATTGCATTTAAAGCTAATTATGCAAAAATAATGCAAAAAATATATAAAGTGTACATCAACAAATCATATATTTGAAAAACTTTATGACTGCAGAGAAAGACAAATACAACTTTTTTTCTCTGGCATCATACAGATCTTCAGGAATTTTTTTTCTTCGTTTTCTCGGTTCTGGTCCTAGAGTACCCAATCACTGGACATTTTGTCCTTATGTAACACACCTGATTAATATCATCAGCTTATTAATAGAGGCTCTGAAAAGATCTTCACTAGGTACTTCAGATCAGGGAGACATCCAAAATATGCAGTCTGGGGTACTCCAGACCAGAATTGAAAACAACTAAATTGGTCTCGCCAAAAATGTTTGATTAAGATAAACTGTTAAGATTAACACATAAGTGACTAAATTATTATTATTAATCAATATTATTTATTGCATATCCAAACAGACTAAATTCACAGGAATGGCAACAGCTTGCATAGAACTTATCTGACAACTGACACTCATTAAAATTAAACCTGCCATTTCATTTACAAATTACAGTGTTGTCAGTGGTTTGCATATAAAAATTACACAATCTGAAACAGAATTTTTTTTTTACATTTAATATGTAACATCCACAACAGCTTTTCATCTACAAAAAAAAGTAACCATATGAAGTTGTAACAGTTTCAAATGTACTTGTACTGAGCCCACACAAAAAAAGGACAGGGAATGCATGTTAAATGCATATTTGGACTTGTTTGTAACTACATTAGGTTTACTAGAAAACAAGACAAAGACAACATCTTATGACAATAGTTTCCATGTGAAACCTTTTCTTAAATGTCTGCTGTGTGTCTTCTTTGAAATATAAAATAAATCAGCCATTTCTCATTAATATTCACCGTCTAATATAGCTTATAAAATCTTAACAAATCTTCATCACAATGTAGTTTAAGAAAAGTAAACTTTTAAACCTGTCGCTTTCAGAGTAATTTACTCACTGGATTTGCAAGTGATTTTCCTCTTCTCTGCGAATCCTCACACAGGCACTTCAGTGTTCATTAGTGTGTGCTGTCTCTTCCCCAGGCTGCGGTGAGAGACGTTCGGATCCGCAGGTCGCCTGTTGCGCTTATATAGTCTTACTGCAGACGCGCGCGCCTGAACGAGCCAATCAGAGAGAGAGAGAGAGAGAGAGAGAGAGAGAGTGCCTGTTTGATTGAACGACTATCGTTTCAAATATTGTTAACGAGGATATGTCTGTTGTTGCAATGCCTAAAAATAAAGTCAAGTTACGGTTTACGAAAGCTAGGAACGGAGAACCATCTGATGATCTCTTTATTCAGAACCTTCTCGGTTAAAAACACCGAAAAGGAATGATTTTATATGTGTGTCTGTTCCCTTCAATGCACAAGTTTCCAAAGTGTTTTAAGTTAATATTCTGTGGGTCTTCAGTCATACCACTAATACATTTACAGCTTCTACAAGTGTGTTCCTGTTCAAGTTTGATTCTTTATGGTGAATCAAAAACATGTACAGCGCGACATGTCCGAACGAATGACTCGTGAGAGTCGGTTATTTTTAGTGAATCAAAAACATACCGGTAAATTGGAGCGTTTGAAGAATTATCTGACTCAAGGGTCGTTACTTCTCAGTTTCTGGTTGTTCATATGATAACATGTAGTTAAAGATACACTTTGTGAGTTGTAGTCATTGATATTTAACAATTAATAAATAATTAATAAAATATCCCCCTCCACACTTTGGAGTCAATAGTCGTTGC